ATATATATATATATATATATTTGCACCCCCCTACTGTCCACCCCTTGCCACTGCTTCTATGGGGCAAGACCAAAGCCTTTGCTCCAAGGATCAGACAATCATATCTGAAGCCCAGTCTCTTGCCATCCACTGGCTTCCCCTTCACCGTAGTGAACTTCCAAGTGCAGCTAGAACTTGAACCAGTCCCCATTATCTCCCTTTAAGTCTGGCCTTGGGCTAAGTCACAACAACAATTTCTATCTGGCTGTTCCAGCCCCGCACCTGCCCTACATTACCACAGAGTTTCTCTCCAAGCATTTTCAGCTGGTTCACATCGAGGCCTCGCTTAGTAGCATCTGAGAATTGCCAGCTGAGCACCTCTGACAACTTGGCCCAAGTGGCAGCTGGTGGACTGGAAAAAAATTGCTGGTTCTGAGAGAAAGAAAGAAAGAAAGAAAGAAAGAAAGAAAGAAAGAAAGAAAGAAAGAAAGAAAGAAAGAAAGAAAGAAAGAAAGAAAGAAAGAAAGAAAAAAAGAGAGAGAGAGAGAGAGAGAGAGAGATATTAATCAATCAGATGGGACTGCATGAGGAGAGAGAACAGGGCATAATTTAAAAGGAAATCTGGGATTAACACTGCCATTTTAGACAGAATCACACCCTTTTATTTTAAATCAATGTGCTTAAAATGGCATAACTCCTCTTAGGATGGAAAGGTAAGAAACGGAGCAGAATACCTTTTTAATGCACAAACGTAGCTATGTGAGCTACTTCACAGGGCACTTTCATATGGGACCTACTGGGTTACCAATACACATGAAGCTGCCTTATATTGAATCAGACCATCGGTCCATCAAGGTCAGTATTATCTACTCAGACCAGCAGTGGCTCTTCAGGGTCTCAAGCAGAGGTCTTTCACATCACTTATGGCCTGGTCCTTTTAACTGGAGATGCCAGGGACGGCACCTGGGGCCTTCTGCACGCCAAACAGATGCTCCAGCACTGAGCTATGGACCCACCCCAGCAAGCCTACCTAGAAGTAAATTTATTAAAGGGTGGCACTTCAGGTAGACCCTCAAAGGGGTCTGTTTCTCGCTCCTTCTGTACATAATATGCAAAGAGCACCATGACAAGAGGTGAGGGTTATATCAAAACAGAACCAGAGAACCAGGCTGCACACCTGTCTCTACCTTGCTGCAACCTGGGACATTCCCAAGAGGGAATCCTCTGATGTAGACTCACATTAGATTCATGCCCTCTCGTACCAGAGTACATGAAGCTGCCATATACTGAATCATACCCCTGACAAGGTCGCCTTGACCTGGTTAGCCCAGGTTAATCCACTTGTCAGATCTCAGAAGTTCAGCAGGGTCAGCCTTGGTTGGTATTTGGATGGGAGACCACCAAAGAATATCAGGGTTGTGATGCAGAGGCAGGCAATGGCAAACCACCTCTAAATGTCTCCTGCCCTGAAAACCCTACCGGGGTTGCCACAAGTCAGCTAAGACTTGATGGCAAAACAAACAAAAACAACCATCAAGGCTGGTATTGTCAACTCAAGACTAGCAGTGGCTGTCCAGGGTCTCAGGCAGAGGCCTTTCACGTCACTAATGCCCAGTCCTTTAACTGGAGATGCTGGGGATTGAACCTGAGACCTTCTGCATGCCACACAGATTGCTCTACCACTGAGCCACAGTCCCTCCTCTAACAGAGCAACAGAACAGAGTACAGTAGGGAGATTTGTTGTTGTTCAGTCGCACAGCCAAGTCCGACTCTTCGCGACCCCATGGACCAGATCCCGCCAGGCCCTCCTGTCTTCCACCTTAGTATTCCTTAATTAATTTATTAAAATATTTATATCCCACCTTTCCTCAATACAGTTGCCAATGTACTGGAGAAAAATGTCCTGTCCCTTTGGTAAAGGGTTAAGCCATGTTATTTATCAGGTGATGTTATTTACCTTCATGTCAGAAAAGCTTTAGCTGCTCATTTCTACACATTAAAAGCCTCTATAGAAGAGGGCAGGACATTTTCCTTCAGGCTGCTGGCAACCCTAGGAGACAGTAATTTGGAATGGCCTATATGTACATATGACTGTTGCATACACACACGTTCATGGTGCCACACAGCTGTGGATCATCTGACACTCTTCTGACATACACAAAGGAATTAAAGTCAGGAAACAAAGACCCCTTTCAAATTGCCCTGTATTCTGTTTTAGTAACTGTTTGCTAATGGGTTTTTTCCTGCCATTTCAGACAGAACCATTTTAGTAACTGGCTGCTGGTGGAATTTATTTACCTGTTCATACAAACCCACTTGTGTTGGGTTAGCAAAGCGTGGTTGAGCCGCTTTTGAGGGATACTGCTTTCTTCCGTTTTCTACCCCTTTGTTGAGCTTCGAATCACTGTGGTATGCTGTTTAAAATGTCCATAGCACTTCCTGCAATGCTGCTTTTTTCCTTGCTCAATCTTCCTCAGACTTTTTTTTTAACATTCTGAGTTGAGTGCTATAGACTCAAGGGAGTCAAGGCATCTCAATGGCGCTGCTATAACACTGAAGTGCTACTTCTGTTTAGCGCTATATCACTCAACTTCGATTGTTAAAAAAAGGCCTGAGGTGGTGAAAAATGGCAGGGGGGGGAAATGGCACTGTTTGAAATTACCATAGCATTTCAGAGACGGCACATTAACAGAAAGGAATTCACTGTATGAAAGCCCCATCCCTGTATTGCTTTACTCGAAATCGGTCCAACAGTGAATAACATCCTGTTTAGAATGGTAATGTGGAAAGGGCCAAAAAGAGAATGAGAGCTGCTTTCCACGAAAGGTCCAGATACTACTAAGGTGTTGCTGAATGAAGCACCATATTCCCTGCAATAATCCCACAAGGACCTTTGGCAGTGACCTGATCCTAAGGATGTTACTAAGAAGTCAGTTCCAATCTGGAAAGCAATTGCAGCCTTCAGATTACTAAAGAGGCTCCTCATTCTCCCAGTCACTGTTGTTACTGAAACTGACCTTTCAATTAGCAGTTTCTGCTTAGTAGCCACAGCAACCCTACCATTGGCTCTGTCTCTTTTAATGAGCACAATTACTCTTTGGCACATAAAGAAATGATTTTTTAACCCAAGCTTGCTGTGCCTATTTGAGTACTCCTTTCTCATGAAGTTCCATTTGGCTTGAAGTACTCCCCTGACAGAGGCCTGTATAGTTCAAAATTTATTGCGACGGTGACTATTACTATATTTTCTGTATACCGATGTGTATCTTAGCTTAGGCTGGAGCAAGTCCCCCAGCCTAAGATGCCTTCCCCCTCTAACATAAGCAATTCTTCTGCTGGAGGAAGCACCACTTAAACTGGAGGAAGGCTATAAGCTTTGTCTAGTGGAGTGATACAATACAAGCCCTCTTTTCTAATGGCTGCTTCAGATATGGATGGCACCACCTTCCTCTATGTCTTTGCACACTTTGCAGCACAAGCAGCATCTTAAGGACAGGCAGCTATTTTCAGAAAGATCCTCGTGCTTAACTGGGCAAGCCAGCTATGCAGATACACTCTTTGGACCCTGCCATATGGACAGGATCAGGGACCTGCTCAAAAGCACTGAATCAGAACACTGCCATCGGGAACAGCCTGTAACCCTGACAGAAAGTTAAAATGGGGAAGCCAAACTGTTAGAGAAAGTAAAGAAGAAAAATCATGCCCAATATGTTTATATTCTGGACTGAACAGGCTAACCCAGCTGAGATAGATGGGAACAATGGAGGCAGCAAATTGCTGGCCTGGAGTCCTACACAGCCTATAAAGTTGGGGCACAAGGTGATGGACCTGTCTGCTTCTTACCTTTGGGTCTGCTCCAAGCATATTGCACCACAGGATGGAGGCCCAGGCACTGGATGCCTGGTTGACATTAGAGAAGATCACCACAGGCAAAGTGGATGCCTAATGGAGAAACATCAGAGGCTGAAGATTGGGAATCAACACTGCCCCGAACCGCACAATGCCGGATTAAAGGACCAGGTTGGCCCAGGCTAGCCTGAAGTCAATCAGATCTTGGAAGCTACGCAGGCTCAGCCATGGTTAGTACTTGCATGGGAGGTCACCAAGGAAGACCAGGGCCACTACACAGAGGCAGGCAATGGCAAAACCACCTCTGAACATCTGGGTTGCCATGTCAGCTGTGCCTTGACGGCACCTTCTACCACCTCCACCAACCATGCTTACCCTCTGGCTGCTTAATGTGCCAGAAATCCTGACACATACTTATGATGAGCCTCCTTCGCTCCCATTTTCCCCCTGCTGTCTTACTTTCCTGCAGCAACAATAGTATTCTGCTCATCAAGGAGATAAAGTTTATCAATTAGAGGAGTCATGCATTGGCTTGGAAAAACAACATCTGGCCAGGGTTTGAATGTAGGAGGCTGCCACTGCATTCATAGCTAAAGAGAACTGGAAAGAAGCCAAAACAGGCAACAGAAAGATGATCCTTTCCACACTGGGGATACCTTGGAAAAATATGCCAAATAAAGAGGGGCAATATATCTGGTCAAAGCCTTGCTCTGTGGCTTTATTAGCATAATCCTGCCATGACTCCCAACCAAGACATCAAGTGACAAGACCATATGCAATCCTTATCATACCACTCAAAACTATACAGAGGGTTACTTTGTACCTTAAGAATATAAGAGGCTCTGTCCTGGATAGCCCAGGCAAACCCCATCTCGTCATATCTCAGAAGCTAAGCAGGGCCGATCCTGGCAAGTGCTTGGATGGGAGACCTCCAGAGAATACCAGGGCCGGGAAACCAGAAGCAGGCTATCAAGCCACTTCTCTGAATGTCCGCACTAGGACTCACCAGAGTTCACCATGACTTCCAGACACAGGCACACACACACACATGCAAAAATACCCAAAAAAAGAATATAAGAAAAGCCCTACTGGATCAGACCAGTGGTCCATCTAGTTCAGCCTCCTGTTTGACACAGAGAAGAAGAAGAAGAAGAAGAAGAAGAAGAAGAAGAAGAAGAAGAAGAAGAAGAAGAAGAAGAAGAAGAAGAAGAAGAAGAAGAAGAAGA